TCCCTACATCTCTGAAACTGTGTAGGTCCTCATGTATGACTGTTAACCAATTGTCAAATGCCTCTTCTGATTAAATTTGACCTGTCTCATAGGAGACGTGTTTGAGCATTAGGAAAGATGCAGATCTGGGATGCATGCTTTCCTGAATGAGGAAGGGGTGAAAGTGGTAGCATTCTCCATAAATCCACTCCCATTCCTAAGCAAAAAAGAAGGTTCTATGTTTCTTCTAAACTGTCCAGATTTTATTAATCTTTGTTCTCCAGTCACAGGAAACAGGTTTTTCTTAGGTCCCTGGTATGGACTGGAAAATTGAGAGGAAGTGGAGAGGGTGTTACCCAACAGCTGCAAAATAATAATTTCTAGCATAGGATCTCCCCTAGCATAATTGATGGAACCCCAATCTCAAACCCTATTCCCTCTCTGTTCCCAGGTATCTTCCCTTGTTCTACAAGCCCCCAGGATGACTCAAAAAGGCACTGCCCTAAGCCAACATCCTAGTGTAAAACCACAACCACCTGGAGTATAGAACACTTTCATCACAGATTTTCCCAGTTTTAGGAGGACGGTTATGTGTCCACCTCCTCTGACCATCTAACTGAATGGCAGAGGTGTTAAGAAGTGCTTATTCCAGGGCAAGCTTTCTGTATATGCCAATGATTGATTTCCAACTAGCCATTGCAGTTGTCACAGCTTCAGAACAAGCACCGCTGATGGCAGGTTTTCCTGTCCCCTTCACCATCCACCACTCCCCCCACAAGCAACACCACTGTTGGGCACTGGGTGTAATTTCTAGAATGATTAGTCCACGTTCTAACAGGTAGGGCATGAGGGGAGTGTGGGCAGGGTTGCCTCTTTTTCTTGTGCCAGATGTTCCACCAGTTCATTAGAGAGTTGAAGTTCTCCCAAACCATGGATGGACCACAGTCGTCCACCACTTTCTCCCCCGTCCCAAGGAACAAGCCCAATTCTACCCCAGGCCAACTTCCCATTGGGTCAGCAGACTTAGCCCTTCCCATTCTGAGACTCTTCTTCTATGACTCATTCTGTGACACCCCAATACCAAGAACCCCACATGTCATTTTTATTCATTTAGAAGTTGTTCCTGACATCCGTATATACTCTCGCCCAAAGTTGGTGTTTGAAGGGCAAGAGCTGGTGCTCATCTGCTCAGTAAATGGAGTTCCAGGGCCCATCACAGTTTCTTGGTACAGAAAATTCAATCTGAGGACAGAAAGAAAGCTTCACACTTCCTCAAAAACAGAATTCAAGATCCCTGTGGTGCAAAACAGCAATGATGGAGAGTATTATTGTGTTGCCAGCAATAGTCGCTTCTCCTTCCGCAGTGACACAGTGACCATCAATGTGAAAGGTGTGTCTGCCAGATATTATCTAAGGGATGGCTTTTCAAAATTCGTGAAAACCATAAGGTGGTTGGGTGGGAGTGAATGTTGATAGTTGCCAATAATTTACTACTCTGAATAATCTACCAGAAGTTAGAGACTAACAGGAGTGGGATTTAGGGATAGAAGGAGTTACGGGAGCTTTTCGAAACTCCTAGAAATGGAGGTCAGAGAAAGTACTCAGTGATTGGCATATGTATGGACTCTTCATATTTACAAATTACTTTTTAGCTTAAATGCAGTGGCTCCTGGGATAAAGCCAGAACAAACAGAATTTTAGAACTGGAACAATCTGGGACCATGTCTCTTCATAAGCCTCATTGATTTAAGGATGTGCAGGGATTCCCTCCCTCCCACTACCTCGTTGACTCTTTTAGCTCCAAATGACACATCCTTTCACCACCCTCAGGGCTCCTAAGGCACAGGATATTGGGAAGAATGAGATAGAGCTCCAGATCTTCCCTGTGAAACCAAGGGAGCCTCTCTTTCAATTCTGTATCAGTTTTATCATGAGGCTGAAATTCTGACGACCCCAGACCCCTATAGTAGAGGAACATCCCTAAATCTCTCTGCCCACAGAACATTCTGGGAATGACTCCTGTACTCAGACAATGACCTGGGGACCCAGGCAGTGAGGAGAGGCCACTCTCCATCAGAAGTGAGTTAAGTCTGACCACCAGAAGTCACAGGATCAGGTTGTTTGTAACCCCACAGTCTAAAGACTGCAGCCTCAGAAATTCACAGGCTTTTGGTTCACGTGGCATCACAGCAGGTTCATTGCCTCTGCTTGGCAGATCTGAGCTCCTTCCTGTGACCACACTCTCAGGAATTCCTTACAGTGAATCATCAACAGTAAAATACACAGTCTGACCAAAACTCTCCTAACATAGCTGTGAAAACTTTTCAGGGTCCAGATTCTGAGTTCACCATTATTTCGTTTAGATGATACGCAGTCTTTGATTTTTCTGTCAATCAAAAAAAAAAAAAATAGTCCAGCGATTCCTGGGTCTAGTCTTCCTCTTACTGAATCCCAACAAATCTCTACTCCCTTACCTTCTTCCTGCTTCTTCCCCAATTCATCTATATTAGTCTGCTCAGGCTGCCATAACATAATACCACAGACTGGGTGGTTTAACAACAGAAATTTATTTCTCACAGTTCTGGAGGTTAAAAGTACAAGATCAGGTGCCAGTAAGATTGGTATTTAATCAGGCTTTCTTTCTGGCTTGTGGTAGGCCACTTTATCTCTGTGTCCTCACATGACCTTTCCTCTGTGTCCTGGGAGAGAGAGAGGCCTCTCTCTTCCTCTTCTATAAGGACACCAGTCCCATCTGATCAGGGCCCCACCCTTATGACCTCATTTGACATTTATTTCCTTAAAGGCCCTATCTCCAAATACAGTCATATTGGAGATTTTAGGGTTTCAGCATATGTATTTGGAAGGGACACAGTTCAGTCCATAACACCATTCTAATATCCCCATTGGCTCCCAGGTCTTTGAACAACTGTCTCTATCATGTGGACCTCATCTTTCAACAAGTTCAGATACCATCACACCCCTTAATATGTCTGCAGCGTCTGTCTCTCTCCCCCTCCTTGGTCCATGGCATCTACAGAATTCACTGTTTTTCTCTTTTCTTTCTTTATCCTTCAAATCCCCAGATGCTTCAGTGTCCAATCAATCTTAATAGTTCTCAAATCATTTCTCTATCCCAGAGTTGTGGAGATATCTTTGCTCCAATCAACAATTAATTATTGGCAATAACCAATGTGCAAATTCATGTAGGATACAGATAGATAGCAACATCACAGTTACTCCAACCATGTAACTATGATTACTACACCACCCCAAACTACACAACCTACTTTACCAGTATCTGATGCCATCTTACCCTGAAAGCTATTAAGGTAGTTGTGGTAGTGAGAGGAAAATAACTTCTGTAGAGCCCTATGCTGTTTCCTTCATTGGTGGCAAACTCCAGTTCCACTTTCAAGGAGATGATATGATTCAGCATTAGACCATGAGTAAGGAGACAGACTCAGGTCCTATCTGGCCCTGAAAACAGCCTGCTGAGGGACCACAGGTGGATCTCCTAACCTTTTCCTGACTCATTTTTCTCACCTGTAAATAGAGAGGGTCAAGCTGGATGCAGGGAGAGTGCAGGAAGAGTATGTGAATCTGGAACAGAAATGGGCCAAGGCCAGAGGCCTGAGGCCAATCCCAGCAAAGGGAGAAGTGTAGAGCAGGGACTGCTAAGAAGACTCAGAGAGGCTTGGCAGGTGAGGGAACAGATCTTCCATGGTCGTATGGCAAAGGGAAGGAACAAGGTAAATCTGTCCGTCTGGTGGAAGCAAAATAAGGGACTTTTTCCCAGAGAACATCATTTCCTCTGGAAAACAAGAATGAGGGTCACCTAACAAAGGGAGAAAGGAGAAGAGAAGGGCCAGGTCTGATGGGAAAGGAGAAGACCAGCATGGAAAACATGAGAGAGCTGGGAATAAAAGCCTGGGAGGCACTGGGCTGCCCTGAGAGCCAGTGGACTTCAGACTGGACATCTCACTAGCCACTGATTGAAAGTTCCAAGAAGTGTCAGATGCACCTGTTGACTAAGTGTTTCTTTCCCTCAGTCCCCGTGTCTCAACCTGTCCTCACCCTCAGCCCTCCTGGGACCCGGACTTTTGTGGGAGATGAAGTGAGCTTTGACTGTGAAGCTCAGAGAGGTTCTCTGCCCATCTGGTATCAGTTTTTTCGTGAAGGTGTGCTGCTCAGGAAGATAGAAGCTACTTTAAGGAGAACAATGTCCTATAGATTCTCTCTGACTGAAGAGCATTCTGGGAACTACTACTGCACAGCTGACAATGGCCTTGGCCTCCAGAGCAGTGAGACCCTGAGACTCTCTGTCACCGGTAAGCTCTGGATTCCTGTCAGTGACCCATCCCTGACCCAGATCCTCTCGCACCAACCTTTTCAGAGGTCTGCATGGATCTTCCAGTTTCCTACCCCAGTCAACCTCATGCCTGTCTTGGTTCCCTTCTTATAGAACCAGCTATCTGTGGGCCTTAATCCTCATCCATCCCTGGCTCAGCCAGACCCCTATGATAGCTCAGCACCTTCCCCAGCTTTTACCAAATGAATTTGTTTTCTCAAATTATCTTCTCAGGCCCTGTATGTTCAGTCTCCAAGCCAATTTCTCTTAACTCCATGCACAGAAGCATCTCATATTTCCCCAATAACACTTACATATTAATTTAGCTAGAAGCACAGTCATATGAGCATATACTGGGCAAGACCTTACTTTCTCCAGAGGATTCTCAATCAGTTCAAGCTCTTCCAGTAGGTTTAAAGAGGGCTGAAGGTGAAGGGAAGGGAGGAAATTGCTTCCTGGAAACCAGCTCATTTGTTTTCTGGGGTTTCCATGATCCTTTGACTTAACCCAGTAAAATAAGTGTCATTTCATTGTATTATGTTTTTAATTTTTTTGTTGCAGTATGACATACATTTATAAAGGTATACAAGCCATAGGTGTACAGGTCATGGTTCCCCATGGAACTATGAAAAAGTGTCATTTTAGGAGCAAAATTCCTTCTTTTTACACTTGGAATCTTTGTTTAGTAGAGAGTGAAAGTTCAGTTTTCTTTTCAGAGAAGAGAAATATAAATAGAAAAATCTTGAATCTGGTATATCAGATCATTTTAGATCAGAAGAAAAAAACCCTGATGTCTCCAGTGGGTGAGGGTTTGTTAAGGATATCCAGGGAGTAAAAAAAAAAAACAACAACAAAACAAAAAACAGGAAAGACATTATATTCAGATTTATGGAATAAGAACTGGGAGATCTCTCAGAATTCAACTTATTTCTCAAAAACAGATTATACTGATGTCTGAGGATCTAGAAGCTTTCATTATTCTCTACTCTTAGGCCCATCAGCTATTTCCTTTCTATGTCCTTCTGACCCATTGTTCTTACTGCTCCTAAATGCTTTCCACCCTCTTTCTTATGACTCTATCTTATAACTTATTTTTACTTAAAACTCCTGTTAATTTCAGCATTGACTGCCTTGGACTTCTGGGTATGATGTCCTGCTCTGTATTTCAGTGTCTGCCCCAACTGCCAAAGCGGTGCTTCCCACTAGTCTAACTAGTCAAGCAGCCTAGCTCTAAGACACCTTATAGGCCACTGGCAAGTCTACACATAGAATGTTCTTAAACCAACTGCTCACCTCTAATTCAACAAATGATGGCCGAGAGAGCAGGGTCACTTGGGACAACATGACATGTAATGAACTACATTTAAGAAAATACTTTTTCTAGGAACGATATGCACAGCAGGACCTCTGAGGTTTCCTAGAAAGAGTCAGTGTACATGAAAAACACCTTGCTCGGGTTGTCTAATGTCAGCGTGGGTCAGAAAATCTGAATTCTAGCCCTGGATATGAAAATAGCTAGCTCATAATTTGGACAAAACTTTTAAATTTTCTTTGTCTTGCTGTTTTCACCTTCTATTGAAAGTTAGATAAGACAGTAATTAGTGTCCCTTAGAGCCCCAGAATTCTGTGATTCGAGTTGGAATAGGAACCCAGAGGCCATGAATTCATGAAGCTCTGGAAGAAACAGAGTGAGGGAGAGGCTGAGCAACACTCGTCAAAGCCCCAGACAATACAACCAGGGAAATCTGTGGGTGCCCCAGAGCTGGGCTTGTTTACCTGGCAAAGCAAGGGAGAGCATCAGTTTGACAGAGTCTCATCATCTCTCACAGTGGGGAGTTAGGTGAGGCACTTTTTAGGGCTTTGGGAGCAGGAATTGGTCAGAGTGTGATTGTAACTGCAAGTGTGGTCTGGTCAGAGTTTGTAAATTAGGCAAGTTTCTGTTATAGTCTGTGGTCTTAGGAACCCGTGAGTCCATTTGGAGTTCTTATTACTACGGTCCTATCTTGGAACATATGGATCTGAAGGACCTCTTGCTCCTCGATAGCTCTTGTTTCAGATCATAGAAATAAAACATGGCCAAAGGAAGACATTACACTAATATAAATTGTTGAGTAAAGAGATTATTTTAAAAATGTAAATGATATGAGACCCAGACTCCAAAGCCTGAAGCCAATCTTCCTAGGAAAGCCCCAAGCCCTAAGACATCCTCTTTCTCATTATGATGTTGTATTTTCTTCTCAAATTTAGCAATATCTGAAACTTCTTTATTTCCCGTTTAGTGTCTGTCTTCCTCAATACCAGAGTATAAGCTTCATGAGAATGGAACCTTATCAGTTTTGATCTGCACCTCATCCCTGTGCCTACTTGGTGTCTGGCATAGAGTAGGTCCTCAGTCAGCATTTGTTATTCCATGAACAAAAAGTCTTTGAGATGAGATGAGGAAAAAAAGAGCAGGGAGAAAACATTGATCTTTGCACCTGTTTATATAAACTGAACAGAAGTAAATGAGCCCTAAATTAGCAAACAAGTTGAGAAGCTTCACCGTGAGCCATGCACACTTTCTGGCAGAATAATCTGGGTTGTTTTTTTTTTCCCAAGGGAACATACCCCAAAGAGAAGACACAGAAATTTCGTGGGAATGTGAGCTAATAAGATATACCCATTTTGAATCTATCAACAGCCCTGGGTCACTAAAACACTACCCGCCCCCCATACACACACACAGCTTTCTCAAGCAAATACAAAACTCAGAATATAATTTTATTCATTGAAGTAAAAGCCATAAAGAAAACAAGTCCAATATGAGAATCTTATATGTATAGCTGATTCACTTTGTTATAAAGCAGAAACTAACACACCATTGTAAAGCAATTATACTCCAATAAAGATGTTAAGAAAAAAAGAGAGATGATAACAGAAAAGAAATATATATATATATATATATATATATATTTATATATATATATAAAACCAAACCTATGTTAAAAATAAAATCCAAACCTATGTTAAAAATAAAATCCAAATTTGGAGCAGTAAGAAGAGAGTGCATACTTCCAAAATCTGTTAATGGAATGGAGAATTGGTTTGAGAAAATAATACAGAACACAAAGTAGAAAGACACAGAAAAAGGCAAAAAGAAAAAGAAAGTAAAATATGGAGATCAGACAACGAAGCCCACAAGTGTGGATAATTAAGTGTCTAAAGAGAGAAACAAAACTCAAAGACATAATAAAGTTTCCTGAAGTGAAGAAAACTTGAATATGTAGATCAAAAGGCATATCCTGATGAGGTTATTGACTTTCAAGGCTAAAAATATATGTGTGTGTGTGCACACACCCGCGTGTGTGTGATCACAGCAAAAAAAAAAGAAAAAAATGCAGTCATCTCAAAAAGAAAAAATATGCAGTTGGTCTTAGTCTTTACACAGAAGTCAATGCTAAAAGAGAGAGGAATGGTATTCAGACTTGGACTTTCAGAGGAGAAATGAGAACTGAGAATTTTATATCAAATCAAAAAAACATTTTCAAACGTGCAATAATTCAGGGAACTTAGTACCCATTAACACTTCTTGAAAAATTACTTGATGACAAACTCTAGCCAACCAAGGTATGAATCAATATAAAAGACTCCAAATGAGGAAACTATGATATGAAAAGTGAATATTGAATCTATTCAGATCAGTAGTTCTTAGCCTTGGCTGCATATTAGAATCACCTAGGAATTTTGAAAAAAGACTTTTTACTAAGCTCTCTCCAGACCAATTAAATTCAGAATCTCTCAGATGCGGTCTCAGAATCCATATTTTTTAACACATCCTCAGTTGAAAATATTGTACAGATTTGGTTGAAAACCACTGATTCAGACATAAAAACAAAGGCTAAGTAACATGAGAGTTATGGTTACAGAAGAGAAAGCAACTATTATAAATGCTGAAAATGTAAAAAATATATGTAACAAAGGAAAATCAGTCAGAGGGAGAAGAGGAAATTAAAAAACCAATTTTCTCATGATTATTATTATTTCATAATGGAGAATAAAAATTGACTTAATAATTTAGAAAAATTAATGACAGATTTCAAAGTTTTCATTTTATAAATAATTTCTGGATACTTTATAGAGAACAACTCATCATTAATGGATTATAGTTCACTAGTAGTCCATAAAAAATCAGATAATAAACTGTAAGGTTCCATAGGAGAGAATAAGTCAATTCTTCAGATGGAACAACTGTAGAGTTTAAAACTAGGAAAAGAGAAATGATAAGAAAAATAAGCCTGTGCATTTATATGACTATAATTGATCAGAGGGTGGGGAAAGGAAACTCTTACATACCATTAGTGCAAGTGTAAATTGGTTGAAATTTTTGAAGAAAAATTTAGCATTATATATCATTATTTGAAATGCCCATATCCCAATCCCAGAAATCCCACTTCGAACAATTTATCCTAAGAAATTCATTGACAAAATACAATGATATATATACAGAATTGTGTAATGCAGCCTTATTCAAAATTAAAAAACAATAACAACCTAAAGTTCCATAATGAGGAATTGTTTCAGTGTATTACAGTAAATTCATACCATGGAATGCTTTGCTGTTGTTAAAAATAATCAAGCAATATTTACCCTAAATTATCAAATTTTAAATTTAGAGGAGTTGCATTTTATGCATGTAAACTATACCTCAATAAAGCTGATTTTTTAAGTGACGGAGATAGATCTTTAGGTAATAACACAGAATGATGCTCATGATATTTTGCTAAGGGGAAAAATCAGGTTGTAGACCAGTATGTATACGGTGATGCCATGCATGTATGTGAGTTTTTTATGCATTTGTTTATGTGTTGATAAGAATAAGAGTTCTTACACATAGAAAATATCTAGAAAGTGTCACCAAATAATCAACAGAGGTAACCTCTGAAAAATAAACATAGAGTCAATGGGAAAAGATCCTGTTATCAACTAACTCATTTTTGCTCTCAGTTCCAGTATCTCGCCCTGTCCTCACCCTCAGGGCTCCCGGGACCCAGGCTATGGTGGGGGACGTGATGGAGCTTCACTGTGAGACATGGAGAGGCTCTCCCCCAATCCTGTACCAGTTTTATCATGAGGATGTCTGCCTGGGGAGCAGCTCAAGCCCCTCTAGGAGAGGAGCTTCCTTCAACCTCCTTCTGACGGCAGAGCATTCTGGGAACTATTTCTGTGAGGCCAACAATGGCCAGGGGTTTCAGCGCAGTAACACAGTGTCACTCAGTGTCAGAGGTAAGTGGACCCAACTACAGCACAGCCAGGGACAGGCCATCTCCCCCACCTTAACCTGTAGCCGAGCTTGGAGGCACCCCAGGGCCATTTGCTGCATGACATCATTGCTACACAGCCTACAACTGAGAGTTCTGTATTCTACATTTTCAGGAACTTGCACCTTCCCTTTGCTTGCTTTGCCTCTCTTGCTAGCAGCAGTGCAAGGCATTGTGACTAAAAGTTTCCTAATGTAGGAATAAAGGCTTTTAAAACACAAATGGCATCCTGGCCAACAATGATCAGCAAGAAAGGAAATTATAAAGTTCAACATGTCTCACCTCAGAAGAGATTTAGTTGGGGTTTCCTTTGTCAGTCAATCAATAAAAAAGCCAACTCATCCTTTCACTGGCTCATGAATTTCTCTCTAGCTTCTCCTGCCCCTGTCCCAGAGCATCTCAGACCTCCAGCCAGAACTCCTGCTAAAAGACCTTTCAACATCATTCTCCTGACATCTTACCTCTCATTCAGCTATAGCACTCTCTCTCCTACCTGGCCTCTCATGGGCTGACCTCCTAGTCATGCCCACTTTCAGTGCAGGCTTGGCACCTCACTCATAGTCTTCCTCGCTAACCTACACTCTGCCATCATTCCATAACTCGTCCACATGGATGACCCACTCAACACCATGGCTTGTCATTCTTTCTGCCACCCACTGCCCCGTACGTACACTACTCCAATCACCTGACCACAACCTCCTATCCCTCTACTTGTTTCTTCAAATCCTCCAATCACTAGGGGCAGGACACAGATGTAGAGAATGGACTTGAGGACATGGGGATTGGGAAGGGTAAGCTGGGATGAAGTGAGAGAGTGGCATGGACATATATACACTACCAAATGTAAAATAGATAGCTAGTGGGAAGCAGCCACATAGCACAGGGAGATCAGCTCGGTACTTTGTGACCACCTAGAGGGGTGGGATAGGGAGGGAGAGAGGGAGACGCAAGAGGGAGGAGATACGGAGATATATGTATATGCACAGCTGATTCACTTTGTTATAAAGCAGAAACTAACACACCATTGTAAAGCAATTATACTCCAATAAAGATGTTCAAAAAAAATAAAATACAGGAATTTAAAAAAATAAAATCCTCCAATCATTATTTTTCTCAGACCTCAACAGAACCCCCAGTTCCTTAACACCTTTACTTCCTCCCAGACAATCACACCCTCGACTCCCACCACCATTTGAGTGTTTGTCTCTGTATCCATCCAGTAACTCATCCCTCCTCTTCCTAAGGTATAGAAGACTGCTTCCTATGAAAGGTGAAAATCTCCATCTCACCTCTAGAGTCCATCCTTTCTTGCATTCTCAGACACTTTGAACAACTTTCTCTCCTGCTTTATAGGATCTTTCCCATTGACATTTAACGTGCTATGTCTCTCCCATGTCTAAGAAAAAACCCTAACTTGGTCCCACTTATGTCTCCAGCCACTGCTCTATTATGGCTAAACTTCCAAAAAAGAGTCAGTTTCACAGATTGTCTCCATCTTCTCCTTACCCTCTAGGATTTAACACTTGGTTTCTTCTGACCTTTGTACAAAAAATGATTCTCACAAAGGTCACCAATGACCCCCATGGCTTTAAATCCAATGGCCATTTTCCAATCCTCACCTTACTTGATCTCTCAGAAATAGTATTTCTTTCTTCTTGAAACCCTCCCTTCCTTGGCTTCAATGACTTCACCTTCTCCTGGATCTCCTTTCTCTGCCACTCCTTCTCAGTTCCCTTTACTAGCTCCTCCTTTTATAGACAAACTTTAAAAGCATTGGTGTGTCCCAGAGCCTTGTCCTGCATGTACCCTCTTCTCTTATATATGTTCTTTCTCTGGATAATCCTGGGGCTGTCATCTATAAATGATTCTTAAACTTTTACCTCCAAAAGAGACCTCCTACTTGAGCACCTGCCTATGCCATATCTCTTAAAGGCTCATGAACTTGAACATCTCTAAAAATGAACTCATGGAACTCCCCCCATATCTGGTCCTCCTCCAAGTGTCCCTAGCTCTGTGAAAGACACATCCATTCACCCATATATACAAGGCAAAATCCCAGGAGTCTTCCTTGCCATTTCTCTCCCTTGGTCTCCATAGCCAGTTAATCATTGACTCCTATTGATTTTATTTCCAAAATATTCCTTGGATCTTTTCTTTCTGTCTTTACTGCCACTATCATAGTCAAATCTACCACCATTTCAATTACTGCAACGCCACCACTCCACCCCTGATGACCTCTCCATTCCATTTCTGTCCCATTACAATCCATTTTGCACACTGAGATCAAAACTGTCTTTAAAAAAGACAGGTTTGATCATCTCATGCCCCTGTATAGAGACACTTACCGGTTTCCCATTGCTCTGTGAAGAAGGATCAAAATCCGTACCATGGCTTGTGAAGCTCTGCCTAAGCTCTCCAGCCTCCTATTTCATGGCACTCTTCAAACCCTTCTCTTACTGCTGCTGTCACCTCGTTTCAACAGCTCAAAAGCTCCAACCTTCTTCCCAGCTCAGGGCCTTTGCGCACACTGTTTGCCTGCCTGTGCCATCTTCATTCCCTTCCTCGCCTGGTTAATTCAGATGTCACTTTGTGAGGAAGCATTACCTGACTAACCCACACTAGATCAGGCCCCATTATTATACATTTCGTAGCATCCTATTCTTTACTTTGTATCAATTATAACTGTTTTGATTATGTATTTGTATTTCTATTTAATTGCTCTCTATCATCTCATCTAGGTTGCAGGCTTCATGAGAGCAGGGACTGTGTCTTTCTCACTATTGAATCTCCAGCATATTGTGTAGTTCCTGAGACTTTTAAACTGCTCAATTAATTTTTGATGAATGAATAAATATAAAAATGAGCCAATAACTTGATCAATATTTATTATCTTTTGGGTCTTATTTTTGATGCGGCCATGGCTCGGTTACATCTCTGGCTATGTAAGCAGCAGTCTCCCCTGTTTCTCATTTTCTATTGAACTGATTTCTCCTCTTCTCCAATTGTCTTTTGACTTCTCAGATACTTGGGTTTCAATTTAATCTCTGTTTTCAGATTCCCCAAACACTTTTGAGATTGTATATCGAAGTATTCCAGACTATATATAACACTACACAAATGATTTATTTCTTCAGATATGAAGAAATTATAGCTGAGTTCTGAGTGATGTCACAGCGTCATTAAAAACAGAAAAACATTTTCCTGTTTGAAATGTCTTTTCTATGGAAGAACATATTTAAACAGCATGAACTGATGGTTAACTATCTTTCTTCCTTCAGTTCCAGTGTCTCACCCTGTCCTCACCCTCAGGGCTTCCAGGGCCCAGGCTATGGAGGGGGACATGGTAGAGCTTCACTGTGAGGCCCAGAGAGGCTCTCCCCCGGTCCTGTACCAGTTTTATCACGAGGATGTCGCCGTGGGAAACAGCTCAGCTCCCTTGGGAGGAGGAGCATCCTTCAACCTCTCTCTGACCACGAAACATTCTGGAAACTACTCCTGTAAGGCCGACAATGGCCTGGGGGTCCAGCAGAGTGAGGTGATGCTGCTCAGTGTCATAGGTGAGTTGGTCCTGCCCACAGGCAGCACAACCAGGGACTGAGCGCCTTCTCTCCCCGGCAGCAGAAATGGAGCTCCAGTACTCCTATTTGCTAGTGTGACCACCCAGCATACTTCCTGCACATAGAATTTCCAGTTGAAAGTCTGGGATCCTTCCTGTGGCTGCGCTTTCAGGAACCTGGACCTTCCCAGCAGCACAGTTCAAGAAGTCTTCTTGAATGCGATCAAAACTCCTCACTAAAAATGCAAAGAAGGTTTTTAGAACATAGACTATATTTTGATCTGCAATTATGATACAAAAGGGAAAATAACAAATTCTAGTTATAGGTTTAGTTGCCCCAGAAAAGGTCGGGTCATTCTTTGTCCTGGTTTTTCTCTCTTTGACTTCTAACAAACTTCTACTCTTGAGCTTCTTTCACTACCAGGGATATAAACATGCCTCACATTTCCATATTAAAAATTCTATATTATTATTAGCTAGGTATATAGCTTTTAAGGGTATACAATCACAACCAATCCAAGTTAGTTTACCAAGTGATTCTTAAAGCAGTGGGGACACAGAGGTGAAAACAGGATGACATGGAATGAAAATGGTCACCCATTAATCAAATTCTTTCATTCTCTAAGCTGCCTGACATCTTGCCATTAGGTATAAAAACCAAAGGAAAACTGCTTCTTGTCATCTCTGAATCTGCTTTGTGATGATCCCCTACAGGCCAATGTTATGGTAGAGCAAAAGTATGCTAAGGGCTGTTGAGATGAATGCTCTAGTCTTGGTTCTGAAGATACTAGCTCTATGAACTTGGCCAAGCATATTTCCCTATTTTGACCTCAATTTCCTCATTCACAAAGTGAGAAAATTGAACTAGATGAATATCAGGGTCATCCTCCACCGTAGAATCCTATTATTTTGCTGCACAGGGAATATGGTGTATGTCAGACTCAAAGGTTCCTGGAAGGAGACATGCTAAAGGAGAAGCTGGGAGTCACTGCTCCTGGGATACAACCCAGAGAAACACGAGACCATGAAATAACATGCAAATGCTTTCTGAAGTACATAAAGCAAAATACAGGCTGATACTCTTAGTCTCCCTTGGCTGGGTCTCTGAGTATCATAAGAAATACAGACAAAATCACATGAGCAGGTTGATTTAGGCATACCAGCCCAGGAGCCAGCATCCCATCAAGGTGGTTGGGGCAGCCATCTCTTTGGCATCTAGCGGGCTACCTGATCGCAGATTTGATTTTTTTCCATTCAACTAGTCCATTCTTCTTCCCCCAGTGGTACGCAGCACCTGCCTCAGCCAATTTTCCTCTAAGGTTCACAGGGACTCTTACCGCATGGTTTACACACTCACCTTTTAGATACGTCACACAGGCATATACTTCTGACCAAGTGCCATTCCCTCCCTCTTCACAGCACAGTGGACCAGCACATCATACCCCTCACACTCTATATTCGTGATTTTATACACATCCTCATTCCTTTGTTTCTATGATCCCTCGTGAAAATGCCTATTATTTATGCTGGTGCTATCACACCTAAAGGACTTCTTGTTAGATGATTGTGTCTGAGTCCTAGAACTAGGACACATCATGGAGAACTGCAAGAAAAAGGAATACTTATTATCATTGTCACTACCATCATCATCATCACCATCATAAATACTTACTGAGCCCTTGTATGTGCCAGGCCCTGTGCTTAGTACTTGACATGCAATATCTCATTTAATCTTTAAAATAAACCACTGAGGTTAAAAATGAGATCATTTTTATCCTCAGTTTGCAAGAGAGGAAACTGAAGCTTAGAGAGGTGAAGTAACCAGCTTAGAGACACAGCTAGCAAAGGTAAAGCCAGGTTGAAAAATAATCCTATCCAACTCAATGTAAATCTACATTATAATATCTCTCATCCTTTGTGGCCAGGTTTAACACAACTTTTTAATAATTTATTATTCTGGAAGAATACATAAACTTTCACGATAAAAAATCAAATGGAACAAAAGGGTACTTTCAGGTATATTTTTCTAGAAATATTAAAATATATCATAAACATAAAGACATAGAATTTTTTACAAGTACAATCATATTATACATATAGTTATGCAACTTGCATTTTTTACTTGATATATCTTGGATATCTTTCGTGTTTTATTAGCAAGTCAACTAGGTTGTCTCCAGTTTTTAGTTATTATAAAAATTCTACAATAGAAATCTTTGTGCAAACATATTTGCAAATACTTTTTTAAATAGAGGCATAGTTACAATAGTATAGTTACAATGTGTACAGCAAAGTGATTCAGTTTCATATACATACATATATATATATATATATATTTGTTATCAGGTTCTTTCCATTGTAGGTTATTACAAGATATTGAGTATAGTTCCCTGTGCTATACAGTAGGCCCTTGCTTGTTATCTATTTTATATATAGTAGGGTATACATGTTAATCCCAAACTCCAAATTTATCTCACCCCTGCCTGCTATCCCCCTTGGTAACCATAATTTTGTTTTCTATGTCTGTGAGTCTATTTCTGTTTTATAAATAAGTTCATTTGTATCATTTTTTTTAGTGATAAGTGATATCATATGATATTTGTCTTTCTCTGTCTGACTTACTTCACTCAGTATGGCAATCTCTAAGTCCATCCATGTTGCTGCAATGGCATTATTTCATTCTTTTTTATGGCTGAGTAATAGTCCATCGTGTGTATATATACCACATCTTCTTTATCCATTCATCTAATGATGACATTTAGATTGCTGCCATGTCTTGGCTATTGTAAATATTGCTGCTATAAACATTGGGGTGCATATATCTTTTTGAACTAGCATTTGCCCGAGAGTGGAATTGAAGGATCATATGGTAACTCTATTTTTACTTTTTTGAGGAATTTCCATACTATTCTCCATAGTGGCTGCACAAATTTACATTCCCACCAACAGTGTAAGAGGGTTCCCTTTTCTCCACAGGCTCTCCAGCAATGTTTCTTGACTTTTTTTTTAACGTCTTTAGTGGAGTATAATTGCTTTACAATGGTGTGTTAGTTTCTGCTTTATAACAAAGTGACTCAGCTATACATATACATATATCCCCCTATCTCCTTCCTCTTGCGTCTCCCTCCAACCATCCCTATCCCACCCCTCTAGGTGGTCACAAAGCCCTGAGGTGATCTCCTTGTGATATGCAGCTGCTTCCCACTAGCTATCTATTTTACATTTGGTAGTACATATAAGTCCATGCCACTCTCTCACTTCATGCCAGCTTACCCTTCCCCACCCCTGTGTCCTCAAGTGCATTCTCTACATCTGCATCTTTATTCCTGTCCTGCTCCTAGGTTCTTCATAGCCTTTTTATTTTTTTTTTAGGTTCCATATATATGTGTTAGTATACAGTATTTGTTTTTTTCTTTCTGACTTACTTCACTCCGTATGACAGACTCTAGGTCCATCCACCTCACTACAAATAACTCAGTTTTGTTTCTTTTTATGGCTGAGAAATATTCCATTGTATATATGTGCCACATCTTCTTTATCTCTTCATCTGTCAATGGACACTTAGGTTGTTTCTATGTCCTGGCTATTATAAATAGAGCTGCAGTGAACATTGTGGTACATCACTCTTTTTGAATTAAGGTTTTCTCAGGGTATACGCCCAGTAGTGGGATGCTGGGTCATATAGTATTTCTATTTTTAGTTTTTTAAGGAACCTTCATACTGTTCTCCATAGTGGCTGTATCAATTTACATTCCCACCAGCAGTGGAAGAGGGTTACCATTCCTCCACACCCTCTCCAGCATTTATTGTTTCTAGATGTTTTGATGATGGCCATTCTGACTGGTGTGAGGTGATACCTCATTGTAGTTTTGATTTGCTTTACTCTAATGATTAGAGCATCCTTTCATGTCTTTGTTGGCAATCTGTATATCTTCTTTGGAGAAATGTCTATTTAGGTCTTCTGCCCATTTTTGGATTGGGCTTTGTTTGGTTTTTTTGATATTGAGTTGCATTAGCTGTTTGTAAATTTTGGAGATTAATCCTTTGTCAGTTGCTTCACTTGAAAAAATGTTCTCCCATTCTGAGGTTAGTCTTTTCATCTTGTTTATGGTTTCCTTTGCTGTGAAAAAGCTTTTAAGTTTCATTAGGTCCCATTTTTTTATTTTTGTTTTTATTTCCATTACTCTAATAGGTGGATCAAAAAAGATCTTGCTGTGATTTATGTCTAAGAGTGTTCTTCCTATGTTTTCCTCTAAGAGTTTCATAGTGTCCGGTCTTACATTAGGTCTCGAATCCATTTTGACTTTATTTTTGTGTATGGTGTTAGGGAGTGTTCTAATTTCATTCTTTTACATGTAGCTATCCAGTTTCCTCAGCACCACTTATTGAAGAGACTGTCTTTTCTCCATTGTATATCCTTGCCTCCTTTGGCATAGATTAGTTGACCATAGGTGCGTGGGTTTACCTCTGGGCTTTCTATGTTGTTCCATTGATCTATGTTTCGGTTTTTGTGCCAGTACCATATTGTCTTGATTACTGTAGCTTTGTAGTATAGTCTGAAGTTACAGAGTCTGATTCCGCCAGCTCCGTTTTTTCTTCCTCAAGACTGCTTTGGCTATTCAGGGTCTTTGTGTCTCCATACAAATTTTAAGATTTTTTGTTCTAGCTCCATAAAAAATGCCATTGGTAATTTGATAGGGATTGCATTAAATCTGTAGATTGCTTTGGGTAGTATAATCGTTTTCACAATATTGATTCGACCAATCCAAGAACATGGTATATCTCTCCATCTTTTGGTATCATCTTTAATTTCTTTCATCAGTGTCTTATAGTTTTCTGCATACAGGCCTTTTGTCTCCCTATGTAGGTTTATTCCTAGGTATTTTATTCTTTTTGTTGTAATGGTAAATGGGAGTGTTTTCTTAATTTCTCTTTCAGATCTTTCATCATTAGTGTATAGGAATGCCAGAGATTTCTGTGCATTAATTTTGTATCCTGCAA